ACCATGTAACAGTACAACACAGAGGATGGTCTGAGGTCACGGCAAGATCATGAGGCATGAGACCATACTGGCAGAAAAAGCAAAATTCAGCTGGAGTTTTCTGAGTTAGCAAAAACCTACAAGTGAGGTGAAGTGAAGGAAGGAATAGGGCTCTTGGGAACAACTCAAGCTTCCCTGCTTTGCTGTACTTGATAGACTATTGGGTTTAATGTTGGTAGGAATAGGATAGAACAACTTGAGTTTCTTCAGCCTTTACCTAAATTTGGGCTGAAAGAGAGCAAGATATTAGATGTCAGGAACTGCTATAAAAAGGCGTGTCGCTGTTGTGTCGGGCAAAGCTGTGGTTTCTCTTGGGGATCTGTTGCTAAATCTCAAAGCTGGGACAGAAGGCCAGGAGTTTTAAAGTGCAGTTGTGTTTGGATGTGTCAGTAATGAAGAGTCTCTAATGAAGTGCTACAATTCATTCCATTTACATGCCTGTATGAATTGCAAAGGTAGATGTTCACAGGGAGCACAAAGCTCAGTGTATGGAAAGCATTCATAGGGAGATATCCTGGGTGAGAAAAAGGACTTAAAGTGTGAATTATTAATAGTTTAGGAACAGCTCAGTCAAACAGGAGAGGTTGTTGCAGTTTCAGATGAAGAGAAAGTGGTCAGAAAGCCAGGAGGGAGTCAATTCCTTGAGAGTCCTTGGAGACATTTAACTCAACTGCACAGGCTGGTTCTGCAGGTTTGGGGGTAGGAGGGACAGCAGCCTGGAAACAGCAGGGCAGGAGAAGGGTGCCTAAGCAGTGGGTTGTGATGGCATTGCTGTTTCTGTGTTCTGTTCAGAAATGCTTTGTGTAAAATTAAATCTGTTAACCAAACACAGTATTGTTGAAGACAGGATATAAACCTTCATTGTATCAGAAGCTGTCTGAAAAGGCAAATACAGATGTGTAATTTAATATAGGTTGTGCTTAGAAGAAAACACACAGCTAATCTAAAAGGGGATTTTCTTAAGCAATATTTTATTTACAACTGAGGAGGAAAACGATGGATTGAGCACCTCACAGCAAAAAGTTAAAAATACCTCCTTCCCCCCCAAGCCTTCTTTCTGTGGGCAGTCTTTTTAGGCATAGCAGCCATGCAATTAATTGAAGTTGGCTAGGAGCCTGTAATGAACAGTCTAACATGGTGTAGCTGCTTTCATTAATAATATCATTGTCTTTTGTCAACTTTAATAGCAGTTGGGATTATCCAGCTGGAAAAAGTTAGACAGATAGACAGGCAAGTCATAGAACCATAGAATCATGGAATCAGCCGGGTTGGAAAGGGCCTCTGAGATCATCAAGTCCAACCTTTTTATCCATTCAGTACTCTGGAAAAATCCCACCCGTATTTTCCCCCATTCCGTTTTCCAGTGGAAATCCAGTCCGGGTTTGCCCCCACCCCCCCAAAGCGGCCCCGGGACGCCCCGACAGAGGCACCGCAAGGTGTGAACCCCCCAAGAGCCCGTGTGAACCCCCCAAGGTGACACCAGAACAGTGTTTTATTTACTGTAACAAACACGGAGCATCACAATGCAATGAATTTCTTCCCAAACCCTTGTTCCTCTGCAGGCACACAAGGAGTAAATGCAGTGCAGTACCGAGCATGGGGCACTGGTGTCCATCCCAGACGGGTGTGAAGCAGCCACGTTACTGTATCAGTTCATGCTGTGCTGCCGGGTTTATATTGTGGGCGTTTACTGTCAACTGGCTTAAAAAGAAATGCAGCCTTTCTTTTTAAATATATCAAACCTGACGTTTTATTCACTTTTTGGGTTCACTTTTTGATCTCTCTATGTGGATGCTGTCAGAAGTTTGGCTAATGGAATGAAAAGGAGTCAGGGTGTGGCTGCATCCAGTCTTAGCCCCAGACTTTGGCAGCAGTTTATGTTTAAAGGAGTATATATGTGGAATTGAATGTGTGACTTTGTCTTGGCAAACCAAGTATATTTTATGAATAAATGAGTTATTTTATTAATGATGGTAACTATTAGACTAAAAGACCTTACTCAGAATTATTTACTACACAATACAGATAATTATAACTATGAATACGGTGCCCTATTTACTGAAGCAATATTGAAGCAATGCTATTAAAGCAAGCAAAATAATTATTAAGTAGAGATTGATGTTACTCACCCATAGCAATGGCCGTGGGTAAATCCTGAACCACCCTCGCCCTTCTCCATCCATCCCTGGTAACTTTTGCAAATAGAGTACAGTTCAAGCTGCTTTACCCCCACTTAGGCAGAGAATCCTGCTACAACTTTCTCTCCAAAGAGAGTGTTAACTCTGTGACTGAGGGTTACAACTCTCTCTGGACACCAGGAATACCATGATCATCCTTGCAGCTCCTGGAGCTCAGCTCAGCTTTGCCTGGTATGGCAGGGGACCTCGCTCTCCTCGGCTGGATTGTGGCAAGGGGAGGGAGAGCAGAGCTGGGCAGGAAAACAAGATATTTCACCATCAGCCTGGGATGAATTCCCAGTGGGATGATGCTGGCATGGTGCTAATACAATAATGTGGCTCTGCTCGTGGGGAGAGAGAAGCAGATGCCGATTTGGAGATGCAATGGGATAAATGTTTGCCATGGCCGTGGCAGGGAAGAGCGCGCTCAGCCCCGGGCATCAACACTGCTGCTCTCCAGGGGGATCTTGATCCTGTCTGACAAGGCATTGCAAGCAACCTGGATCCAGCTGGTCTGGTTTATCCAATCCCAGCGAATGGATCCCTTTGGGATCCCTCTATGGTGCTGGGGATGCCATCCCATCCAGAGCAGGAGGGCTTTAACTAAGCAAAAATGAAAGGGACAAAAGACATAGGGTAACGTAAGGCACCCCATCGGGATGGGGGGACTTCCTTCCGCTCCAGGACAAGCACTTGTAGCCCCACAGCCCCCTCCCAGCACTGCTTGTGGGGCTGGAGCTGCTCAGCTCTTCTCCTCAGCTCCATCCTCGCATACGGAGCCGGCTGAGCGCTGCAATTCGGCTGCTGCCTCTGTGCAAAGGGCAATTACAATTTGTCCTTTCATTGCTGGCACCATTTGGCTTTGGTTCCTTGAATGTCTTCACGTCTAATGATGGGAGCAACTATTTATCTCCACGGAAGCTGCTGTATGGCCCTTCAGCTTTAAAAATAGCTTTTATTTGCCTCTGTTAACACTGTCCCTCTGGTTCCTGAAGATGCTTCGGCTCCCGAGATCTCCTAAGGATGCTGATGAACGGGAAATGGTAATTTTGCACATTGGGATGCTGAGCAGAATCTGCTTTTAGCAGCTGCAGGCACCCCATTAATTAAATCACCGGGCTCGGCAGGGGCTCCCAGTGGTGTTGCCGTGTGCCCGTTGGCACAGCCTGCCCCGAAACCGGGCTGAGGAGCTGCACAGCAGCTGTGGAGACTGGCTGGGAAGCTGCTTATAAAATATTTCTTCCCCCAGGCGGGTTTTTAATTGGCGAGCTGGGGTTTGGTTTGCTTTGCTTCTCTCGGATTAGATGTGACTAATTGGGATGGGGGAAAAAATTAAGTATTTTTATGCATAGCCAGTTTTAAAGCAGGGAGGGTTTGAAAGGCACTGTAATACCTGTCCTTCCAGAGGATGGCTGGATGGCCCAGCACAGGGACAGTGCCTCTGGTTCAAGGCTGCTCCTGGTTTTCTAAATGTTTAAAAGGAAAAAAAAAAAGGAAAAAAGGACTTGCTGGCCATAGAGGTGGGATGGGTTGTGGTCCTGCACAGCTTCAAAGCAGGCAGCTGGTTCCTATGCAATCTCCTAATTTTTAGGCAATTAGAAGGAGAATTTTAAGTAGATTTGATGTAATTACTTCTGTCCCCTTTGGTTGAATCTGCACATGCTGGAGGATGGTGCTCCAAAGGCCAGCAGCCAGACAAACTGGCATGGGTTTCCTGAAGGTCTTTGCTTAAAATCTGGGTCCATCCTGTATTTTCTAATAGCACTGGTTCAGCCATGAAATCCCATAGAAATTACCACAAACCAAACAAAAACACCCCAAACCTGTTATTTCTGTAAATATTATTTCTGTTTTCATGTCTTTCTGTAAATGAAAACCACTTCTGCTTTTGGCTGTGGGTGGGCACTCAGAAGTGCCACCAAAGTAGCAAAATCTGACTAGAATGTAAAAAAACCCCTATATATCTTTATACCACTCTAGCTAAAAAAAAAAATAAAAAACCCCCCATATAGTTTTATACAGGTTATATAAATTTAAAAAAAAAACCTACATATTTTTATAGGGCCAGATATATCTATCTAGCTACAACCTCAAAAAAAATAGCTAAAAAATTTAATAAGTAATAACTCAAATACAGTCTCAAATATCACACCTTTGTCATAGAAAGTGTATAATATGTTGCACAAGGATATATTTTATATATCATATATATTATATATTATATGGCTTTTATATGTTACGTATTATAAATTAAATAGTATATACTTTTTATTACATATTTTATATTCAAATTATATAGTGTATATTATGTATTGCATAGTTTTATAATATACATTATATGTAATGTAAATAATGAAATATATTGTCTGTATATGTAATTATTATAATAATTCATTATTATATAACATATATATAGCATATAATATATAATGTATAATAGCATATATGTTATATAATATATAATATAAATAAAATATAATAACACGAAATATAACGATGATAATATGAATATTATATATTATGTATATTATACTATAACAGTAATATATTATTGAATATTAATAAGATTATTATTATATAATAATATAAACATTATATAATGGATAATAGATAATATATATTATGTACTGTATATTATCTGTAAATGATATATTTAGTTATATAATATTATATATGATGTATACAGTATTTTTTGCTGTGTGGGGGGAGGTGGTGTGCCTGTGTCCGGGTGCTGGTCCCCGGTGCCCCCCCCGGTGCCAGCCGGTGCCCTTGCCTGTGTTGCAGCACGTACGGGGAGCTGACCAACTGCACGGTGCTGATCGCCGAGAGGCTCGACTGCTACTGGCCCAACCGGCAGGTGGACGAGTTCTTCGTGGCCGTGCACAGACAGTACTTCAGGAACTGCTCCCCGTCCGGGCGGGCGCTGCACGACCCCCCCAACGCCGTCCTGTGCCCCTTCATCCTGCTGCCCGTGCTCGTCACCCTGCTCATGACCGCGCTGGTGGTGTGGAGGAGCAAACGCAGCGAGGGCATCGTGTAGGGAACGCCCCGCGGCCAGCCCAGGGGAGGGACGGGGGGATCTCCCCTGGAACGTGCCTGGTTTTTTTGGGAAGACCCTGGCAGAGGAGCATCACGGAGGGTACCAAGTTCTGGAAGCAGAGACAGCATCGCCACTGCTCCTCTTCACCAGTACCCTCTGTGCCACACCCCCGGCCGTTTCCCAATGAATGCATCATTTAAGACAGGGTTGTTGGGCAAAATGGGATTCTGGGGGCCAGTGAGGCTGTCATGGACTGCCCAGGCAGCTGGGAGTTCTCCTGGGATACCGGGGAGCACCGCTCACCCCAGGCATCAGCACTGCTCTGCTCCGCCTTTCCCAACTGCTTCCTCCCTGGCAACCCCCAGCATTGTGTGCCAAGAGAGAAGAATTTTTAAAGGGAAAAAAAAAACGTACAAGGAAAGGGGGTGTGGGGAGTTGAAATCCTACTGTTCCCACAGTGCCGGCGCAGCATCGACGTGTAACCACAAGGCCGGCAGGTCTGGGCGCAGAGAAACCTCCACGGCTCCCTCTTTTTGTCCCTTTTATTTTTTGTTCAGCACACTTGGAAAGGCATCTTTTCCCCCCGTCCCCAGCCCAAGGACAAGGCCTGCACAGGGTGGGTTTTGCCTGGATGACAGGCAGCAGTGGGTGAAAGTTGGCGCTGGGAGCTGGTGGCACTGGTGGTGACCGTGGCAATGCCCTGGGGGGCTAATGAGGAATGGGAATAAGGTGCTTTTCCTATCTAAATAAATAAATACCTACATAAACCAGGTGCCTGTCTCTGGTGCAAGTCCTCAGCTCTCACCCCTTCTGTGAAGGCTGAAGTCAAAGGCCCCCCGTTAATGCCCAGAGGCCACCCCAAGTGTTGATCCCACCCTGTGGGCACTGGGTAGCACAGGGGGTCCCAGGGAGGGGGATGGAAGGGCTGCCCCTGAGCCAGCAGGGTCCCTGGGGATCCCTAGAGGGGGGTTCCTGGGTGTTGGTGGGCAGGTCAGGTGTCCACCCCTTTGGCAGCATCCAGGAGTGGGGTCACATACCTTAGTGGGAGACTGGGCAGCACCTGGGATGGGGTGGGACCCCCAACCCTACCACTGGTCTCCGCCATCCCCAACAGGTCTAGACCACTCCAGACCCCTTCAGTACGTTGCAGGCTCAGGGTTCCCTGGGGAGATCCAACTGCTATTTACCACTGGCTCTCACATTTCCCAAAAAGCCCTCCTGAATGGACAAGCCAGGCAGTGGGACACACAGCCCTCTGCCTAACCCACCCAGCCTTCTAACCCAAACCAGTCTATGATTCTACCAATATACACAGAAATACATATAAATACACATATATTTATAAATTTATAACCCCCCCCCCAGCTCATTGTGTTCAGGAAAAATTAATTCAGTTTATTTTCCTGGATGATGAGGTGATGGGCTCTTGTAGGATGAGGATGAGGTGTAACATTTTCTTGGCCTTGTGCATCCTGGATAGGCACAAACCAATGCTCAGGCCTTCCTGCTCAGGGAAAGGAGGACTCTTAACATCCCTTCAAAGAAAAGATTCTAAGTGTAGGACCACTAGAACGACAGGCTAGAAGGCACAATGCACAAAACACCTTACTCTAATAGTATTTAACAGTATCCAAACTTTATTATTCTGCTCATCTCCTCCAGGCAAGCAAAAACACAGGGAAGGATTTTAACAGCAGGATTGTTCTGGAGGTGGGGATGGGCTTTGAGAGCTGCAGCTCTAGCTCTATTCTCTGATACCCCAAACCTGCTGCCCACCCTGACACAGCTTTCCTGGCTCCTGGAGCAGCACCCTGGAGTTGCTCTGCCCTGGTGCATCTGCAGCGGCTTCCCGGGACAAGTTGGGAGCTAGGCATGGATGACAGCCCAAGAAATGGGGAGTTTGACCCCTTTTCCTGAAAGATGGAAGGTGATAACACTGCCAGGGTGCCACTACAGCAAGGATTACTCATCTTCATTACAGAAAACTGGTTCAGAGTTTTCAGCTCAAAACCAAGAGAATTCTTCTGATGTATTTCTGGATGTATTTCCCAACCTTTCTATTTTTGTGAGTGTTTTACTTCTTACCTTCCCTGACATTTCTGTTTGGGCAGCAAAGATCTCACTGCAGTTGCCTGCTTAAAATAATAGGCTGATCCATGTTTCACTGTGAACAGACACGGTGGCACTATTATCCTCAGGCGAAGCTCTCCTCCTGCATCCCAATCCCTGCATTTCATCTCCCTGCTTTCCCAGACCTCCAGTAACAGCTACAGGAGCCTGTGAAGGTGTAAGGGAAAAGGCACAGGGAAAACTTAAAACATGACAAGTTGTACTGTGCTTACAGTTTGCACCCCAGCTCTGCCACCATCTCTCATGATGGAGATTATTTTGATTTCTTTCAGCATCTGCAGAGGAACAGCAGGAAAGAATGAAGGGGTAAAAACCCAACAGTCGATGCCCAAGTGTCACACACACACCTGCTCTGTAAAAAACCACACAAACATTTATTTCTATGGTTTATAAAAGCTCAAATCAGTTCCATCATCTCCCTCTGCGTGATCTCAATCCCGGACGATGCCCAGGGAGCTCTGGCACATGGACTGAAGTGATTCCTGAGGTACATGCTACTCTCTCCTGCAGGCTCCCTGCTCACACACACACTGTGTCTGCCACACAGCTCCTCACAGAAGAGGCAATTACAGCATCAACATCCTTTCCAGTCACTGAGAAAGCCAAGCATGCACGGATGGGGTGTGGTGTATTATGGGTCCCAGCTCCATCATTCCCTTCCAGTGCAGGAATCTGGAGAACACAATTAGGTGTTCTCCAGGTAATGGTGCGTGAATTTACTGTTGTCAGATCAAACAGCATCTCATGCTCCCTCACCACATCCAGATCAGAAAGCCAAAGGCAGATTTCTTAAAAAAAAAAATCTCCCTTCCATTAAATTTTTACAGAAATATATAATATATATGTAATTTTTACTAATACTAAACATTTACTTAAGTTACCCATTAGCCTGTATTTCTTTTAACTACTTCACACAATGAATAGAAACAAAAAAAAATACTGTAGCCCAAACAGGGGCTGAAATTAATAATGTAAAAATTCCAAACTGTGACAAAAACATACTTACATTAAATAGCATTGAGAATTTCAATACCAGAAGTAGAATCTCATTTTGCACTTGCATTCTGGCAAGCTCTAAGCCTCAGCTGAGTGACTCTTGGGAAAAGCTCATATTGTTTCTGCTCATCGAAGGCAACAGTTTTGTGATTTGGTTCACAGGAGACCATTTATTGCCAACTCCGAGTGTTCCAAAAACACGCCACCTTTTCTGTTTGGGTTTGTTTTCCTTCCCCCCTCCAGACTAGGCAAGAGTTAAAAAAAAAGTGTAGTTACAATTTCAATAGTGATTTCTTTAACTTCTCAAGCATATCTCATCAACAGGATATACAGTACAGTTCAGAAGAGTAAACATTTTTTAAAAGGAAGCAAACAACTTTTTCAACCAACAGACACAATTTCTTGCTGTATTTATGCTGAACTCTCCTTTGAACATGGACAGGTTATGAAGTTAGTTTTTCTTCTTCAGTACAACATGGACACAGGACTAGTACAATCCGGGCTGGTTTATTGTTGTTGTTGAAGTTAAGGACAACTCTAGTGTGGAAGCCATGGTCCTGCCATCCTTCTCCCTTCATCATCTGGCGTAGCGCTTAATGTAATCTTCAACTTTATTCCGAAAGTCCTCCTAGAGGGAAGCACAGGCACAGTTACCCCGAGCACAGCAGAGATGGATTCCTGTGGGACTGTGCACGGGTGCATTCCCACACTGGCACTGGTAGGGTGAAACTGCCACCAAGGGAAAGGCCCACTGCTCTCCCAGACACCCAGGTTCTGACGGTCCAGTCCTTGCTAACAGGTGTCCACGTTCTGACAGGGATCCTCTGGGGAATGCACTGGGCAAAGAGTTTCCCATGGAAACAGAGTCTGACTGTTCTATAACCTCTGTATCTAGGGGAAAACACAAAGTTCTGGTACTTCATAAAGCACAGAGATGCCAAGCATGAGAAATTCTGGCATGATGTGATCCCTGTCCAAACTGGGATGTCAGGCCGATGCCACATTCCTGGTATGTTATTCCGAGCCTGAACCTTGCCTTCTGTGCCTACAGCCTGGTATTGAGTATGTTCCACCCAAACACACTGAGGCACCCGTGCTCCAGAGTGAAGTGGGGCTTTCACAGCAAAGTGCATTTTGCTTGATTTTCAGCTCCCCATTTTGTGTGTTGCTAGAATATAAAGCAGGAAAACCTGGGAAATTTATGTACTCACATCTGTTTAAAAAAACCCTAAAAAACCAATGTATGCAATAGATTAAGAGGCTTTGAACACTGTCCTGGTGTGCTGGAGCTGCCTGGTGAGCAGAGCCAAGGCTCTGCTTTTACTAAAAAGGGCACAAAGTCCCATTGCCACAACCTGTGGAATCACAAGGCATGGTCCTGCTTCAGTGTCACTTCTCAGCTCCAGGTTTGCTGACATGTAAAACGACACTCTTTGAACACAAACTGTTCTGGTACAGATCACTCAGCAAAGAACTGCACATAACACCAGGACAAAGCAGTAATATGGCCTTTTTGCCTTAGTAAGCCTTGGAATGCATCTATACTTCCTTGGCTCCAACACCACGCTTCAAACACCTACACGTCAGCTCCCTTTATGGCAGTTTGGTTTTCTGCCACTGAGTTTTTCTACCAGTGAAAAGATAGTTTATCCTATGGTTAAAGTCCCAAATCACAGGATCAAAGAACTATGATCCACCAGAAAAGCTGTTCACAATTTCAATTGCCAGCTGATAAAGTGCATCGCAGAGATTCCCATGAACTATATGCAAAGTGCTCTGACTCTCAAAGAAGTTTAAAATGCAGTTTAAGGTCAAAAATATAAATGCACTTTAGGGGAAAAACACTCTCTGCTAAAGGTTCTTCTCAGGAGAGTTATGGATCTGAGCTTTGGCAGAAATAAATGCAGAGAGCAGAAGTGAGAAGAAATCACCTGGAGATGCCTGACACCTTGGCACTAAGAGCTCTAGGTGTGGTGAGCAGCCCTGCAAGCACTGACTGCTGACAGAAGCCAGGGCTGCAGAAATCCCTTTCCTCCTTAGGGACAGGCTGCCTGCTCTCCTTAGGAGAAAGGAGCACCTATTTTGGCACAATATGGCACCTACGAAAGGCAATATTCTGTGTAGTGACTTTTAAACTCTGCTGCAAGCACACATATTTCCACGCTTGCACAACTGTTAAGTGCGTTAAAAACCTAACACTACAGAGCTAATACCATCTTCATTTTAAATGAAATTTCTAATACCAGGCAATTTCAAGCTATAGATGAAAGTTATGATAGCTGAGTATCACATTAAAATGTCACAGATCTCTGGCTGCCCCAGGCAAGAACCACCTCTACGTACCTCGAGTCTGTTAAAATACCACCCAAACAAAAAGAAAATTGACCTTTTGAATTTGTTTTCAGCTCTGATACATTGTGGACTACCTAGATACAAACTAACTCATCATGGCAAACAATGCAGGAACACTCATTTACTGGTTATTTGTGCCTGCTGTCAGCCTGGTCTGGGGCACTCACAACATTGGAGCATGTTGGTCACAACACTGCACCTGACAGATGAAACTTTTTGGACTCCTCAATGGCTTACTGGCTTTAAGCTGGAAGAGGGTAGATTTAGGTTGGATATTAGGAATAAATTCTTTCC